AGAGGAAAGAGCTCAGCAGAATGATTTAAAACACTGCAAGCTAGGCCAGAAAGGAAGCTCCAGTAAAGCAGTGGACTGCAGAGATACAGCAGAAGAAATCTAGATTGCTGAGAAGGAACAGGAGAAAGAAACGAAGGCCTGGAGGAATCACAAGAAGCAGTGGAACTCTACTCTAGCCTCAAAACTGCAAAAGTGAAACACCTTGCTTTGAGAAGAAAACCCCAGAGCACCATATTCCAGAATGGCAGTATCCTAGAGAATCTGCTCCTCTGGATTGGGTTTGGAGTGCTCAGCAATCCAGGCACTGGACATCTACAGACAAAAGAGAAGAAATCCTAGCTACTGCTCTAGCTGGTGGCAGACCTTGGCATTATCCATGTGGCACTGGTTTTAGGTGCATGCTGAATGTGAGGATCAGGAAGGCTTCCATCCAGATTTCAGAAAAAGGCCAGGGAGGCTAGGCAGTGAAGCTGACTGTGAAGCTGAAGGTGTAGTGGAGATATTAGAAGTTTGGAGAACCCAGGAGCATGGTTCATCTGAGGAAAGCTGCAAATGGGAGTAGAACCAGTCTACAAGACAAGCTGTGGGGGCTACAACCACCTGCTGTGCCATAGAGGCGGAGCCACCCAAGCCCTTCAGAGTCTACAACTTGCCACAGATTGCCAGGGATGCTGAAAGTAGAACTGTAGGATTTAATGTTTGCCCTGCTGGATTTTGGACTTGCCTTGGTAACATTCCTGTGGCTCCCCATTTGTAACTTTTGGAAGGAAAATGTCTATTTCATGCCATCATATACTGGAAGTATTTCACTTTCTTTTCATTTTTACAGAGCCTCACAGCTAGGAGTTTGCCTTAAATCTCAGAGGCAACTTTGGGCTTAAGACTTTTTAGCAGTGCTAAAACTGTTAGGACTTTAGCAACTCTTAGAGATGGACTAAATGCCTTTTGCATAAAGGAATGTGAGTCTTGGTAGGGGGCAGAGGTGGAACGTTATGGTTTGTGTCTAGATGTCCCCTTAAAGCCTCATGCAGTCATGGGTGGCAGGCTTTTCAGAGGTGGCTGAATGCAGAGTGTGTGGAGCTGGGATCAAGGGTGTGTGATTAGTCAATCAGTCCATTGATTGCTTGGCATAGTTCTGGCTAGGATTAAGGTGTGAGTGCTACACCTGCACTACAGCGGGTAGCATAAAATAAAAGGGGCACAAGGAGGCTTAACTCTCTTCCCTGTTGCTTTTGCTGTCTTCTACCACCATGAACAGTTGCCCTCTGCCATGTACCACCCTGCCTTGGAGCCAGCCAAGTATGGACTGAAACCTCCATAAACTGCGAGCTAAATAAACCTTTCCCCTTTTTATACTTTGAGTGTCAAGTATTTGTCTCAGTAACAAGAAAAAAGTAAGACAGTCTGCATCATTTCACTTTAAGAGCATATTTCAGCAAATATTTAAGAAGTGAATTTCTGGAGGAGGGGTAAGTAATTAGGTAATTATACATCAAGTGTAATATGATACACCCTTTTCCTCAAGTCAACCTATTATGTTTAATGAGAATCTTCTTGAACTGCATTACTTGATGTGCCCTACCAGTAAGCAGTAATTAATTCATGTACACAGCCTAATCCCCTATAAAATTTTTTCCTTAGAACAGCATTAAAATCTTATTAGGTTATCACATTTATATATGCATATATAAATAATTAGCACATTTATAAACATATATATGCATTTCATACACATACATGAAATGCTAAGAAAATAGAAAACCCAAGATTCTTGAAAATATAAGTTTCAAATGGTAATCGATTTTAGGAAATTTCTCAAGCAAAACATTTTCTATATAATTGCACCTCTTACACAAAATATATCAAGAATGCACATTTTCAATATGTTTCTTAACTTAAATAACTAGTTCTTAAATAACTAAGTAATTTTGTTATCTGCAACCCACCCCACTCCACGATAAATGGATTGGCAATACAAGAGGAGGAATATCACTAAAATATCAAACAAAATTTATTTATTTATTCATTCATTCATTCTTTCATAGCTCTTGCCTTCTCAGCGTTTAGATGCAATCTTGTTTTTAACTATCCTTACACCTTAATCTTTTCTTCTGGAAAATAGGTCAGATCACTCTAGCAGACAACCAAGGATATGTTAGAGATAACAAATAAACACTGTTGGCATGCCCTGACCCATTTGAGTCCAGTGCTAAGATTTTGCCATCCCCGTATCTGTTCCCCTAGATTTCCCTATGCAGGCACTTACGAGAAAAAAGTATCTTTGTATATCAACTTTGATACAGATCAGAAATATAAGTAGAACATCCAATGGCCTGGGTAGGCTACCGACAGAAAACTATAAATAAACAAGATTTCCTTCTTAGATTTTAGCCCCATATTAAGCCCATTTTCAAACTGCTATTGACTTGGTACATATTTTATGCTATTTTACCCATATATTCCATTAACAGACATGTCCCTGAAGGTGTAATTGTCTTAAACCATGTTTCCAGAGTGTCATAATGTGCTCTGTGATGCCTGGTGGGTAACAGTGATGAACCATTTATTGTTGGCATTCTTGGGACAGAAGACAGGGTCCAGAATGTTCTCCTACTCAGAAGTGTTCAGACTACTTTTCAGGACACTTTCACCCACTGACAGGGTGTGGGAATGCAGTAGATGAACATGTTTTATCTCCTGTGGAACCTGATCAATCCTGTAGCAGTTCCCGAAGGCTGGGCTAAGGAAGATAATGAGGCCCCGTCTGAACCCTAAGACAGACTGCTCTGGTGGATTAGTGATGTCGGCCACAAGCACAGATGAGGAGCCTGGTGTATGACAGGCTCAGTGTTCGCCATCCCAGCTCTCCTAACTTATCCTAAACTTGAATTTCATTAGGTTTAAAAACTTTTCATTACGTAAGTCCCTTCTCCTCTTACTGTAGCATTAGACCAGGGGTAGAGGATTCAAAGTCTTCTAAATATATATTTTCATGTGGAATCCTTTTGTATAAAAGTGTGGTAAAAAAATACTCCTCCTGATGAGTCAGGCTAAAGGTCAACATTATGGAGCCAGCACTCCCTCCCCTTTCCACAGGCCCACAGCGAGAACCCTTTCTGAGAGCATTCAGAAGGAACTTTTAAAAGGCCACTACCTTTTCCACAAAAGCAAAAGCATCAAAGCTCCGCTTCCCAGAAGCGACCCCAGCCAGGATCACTGAAGGATTCCAGTGACTGTGAAGCTTCTCTCTTCTAGCCCAGTGGATGGTGAGCTCCCTTGTCCGGCCTGTGCCCCCCCACAGATCTGTACATGAGACACAACCCCAGGATCAGTGACAACATTCAGATTTTGTTTCAGACCTTCTCTCTGAAACCATTTAGGAAAACCTTGCACAAATTCACTTCACAGTGATGAAAACAGAAATTCAACATTTCTCCCCTGCTAAAATGAAGCTGTGTTCTGGGGCCTCAGGAAACGCAAGATAATACATCAAACCCATTCTTTTTTTTTTCTTGTTTCTGCTCTTCTCAGCCAGAAAAATCCTTAATTTTAACGTGAAGTATCAAAGAAGTCCTTTGCATAATTCTTATCTAAAGAACTGCATTACAAAGAGAAGTGCGTCATTAAGCGCCGACGCCCTCCACTTCTAGCTTTGTAATCACATTTATTATTTTTCCAAGGCAATCTTCCTCATCAATTCCATTTCCCTAATCAAATTATATTGTTCAAAGAGGCAATTTTAGTTAATACTTGCTGTAGTCTGCATTACAGTAATGCACCTCCTTGTTCCCTCTGCACCCAGCTCTTCCAGGGCATTTATGCCTTTTATAAACTGCAGCAGCCTCTCCGCCTGCTTCCTCTGATTGCGAACAAACCACTTAGGCCAGAATCATTTAAAAGTTTCCTTACAAAAAGTTCAATGGTTATAATGGAATAACTGCCTAAGAAAAAAAAAAGTAAGTTACAATGAGAAAATATGTAAATATGGGTTGTTGTTCTCAAGATTTCACGAAATATCCCTTCCTTAGGGAAAGGCCAATTGGCCATCAAACCTTACTAAGTAAATCTCAGCAAGGACAATAACACTGACCACATAAGATATAAGAAATGGACAGAGGTCAGTTTTTCCTGCGAATGGGTAACTGAAGGAACCATTGCACAAGAGTATTCGGATGGAAGTCAAAGAGCATAAGAGGCTCCACACAGACTGAGGCACAGAGGGAAGCTCTACAGCCACTTTAGGCATCATCTGAGGCCTTAACACACAGCACTCTTTGAGAAAAATGAAGTTCAATGGACTGCAACCAATACTGCAAGGTAACACCATCACCTAGAGTCTGACCCACAGTATGTGCTGCTTTGTATGGAGTAACTGAAGTTTAAAAACTGAGTTTTAAAAAAGGGGTCCCAAAACAGAAACTTTGTTAGAGGAATATTTTCAGCTGAAAGAGATCCAGGTTATCTTTTTTTTTTTAAATACTATCTTCCACAGAAGCACAATTCCATGAAGTGCAGAGAAAGTAAGACTAAACTGACGAAAATGCTCTGCAAAAAATATTTCAAAAACGACTGCCCTAGAGTTCTGAAGCTTGCTTTCTAGGAAATCAAATTTAAAATTCTCTATCAATACTCATCAGAAAAGGGAAAAATACTGTATCTCATGCTCTCGACCCTCTCATTTTTGCCAGTTTCTCTTGCTTTTAAATAAAAAATAAAACAAAACAAAAAGTTATATATTTTTATTTAGCTCAAGAAATTTAGGCACCTGCGCTGGGACAGATCTCAGAGGTAAATAGCTGTGTTCTGCAACAAACTGTACACACTTCATTGCCATGAATATATCAATATATCTTTTACCTCAAAATGCCAATCAGAATCAAAAGCAAACGTTTCTGGCTTTTGTTTTACACAATTAGGGCCTTAAAATAAGTGCCTGGAGGTAAGCATGGACGTACCAGCCTGCTGACACTGGAACTACTTCAAAACACCACATAACAATATGTGTTTACATCACCCTTTTATTTCATAGTTAGAAATAATACAGTTCCATCAGTAAATCATCAATAAATAACGGTGTTTAATCATTAAACGTAAAAATCCCAACTCTTTGGCATCTGATAGGATTCTATTTCTTGTCAAACTAATAACTGTATAGATATAGTTAATCTTAGTGATCATTCATCAATACAATATGTTACAAAGGTGCAATTTACTGTAAAATATACAACAGCTGAAAATCTCCAGCCCTCCAAGAAATCTGATCAACCCAGTATGATCCAGGCCAACTCTCCAAGGTTCTTTCACATGGTTTGCCTTAGTGAAAGTATAATAAGCATTGACTAAGAGTTCCTAGGGTTTTTAAATAGTTATTATGCTCTAAATAAAAGTTTGCCATTGATTCTGGCTAAAGGAAGATGATAATTATACCAGGAATGACCCACTTGTTAATGAAAGGGGTTCTTATTTTAAGGTTGCTAACACCTAAGAAACTCTCAGCTCTCAAAATAAAACATAAAATATACAATTCTGTGTTGCCAGAAATGCCAAATCAGTTTTAAATTGCACCTTCAAGAGTCAAAAAAAAAAAAAAAAGAAATAGAAATGTTTATAAAAGGTAAGTTACATACATTTTTTTTTTTTTCAAAATATATTCAAGAATAGTTGAGCTGTATTTGTTACTAAAGCCAGGGCATTATTTCTTTAGCAACAAATTAAACCAGTGCAATTGACATAAATTGCTAAGTAATCCAGGATTAACCCATTAAAACTGCAGAAGCACCTTAGGCTTCTACCCTAATCCCGGACTATGAATTCAATGAGTGCTACGTTGCACAGAACTGAAACCAGAATGACCCAAACCCATGCTGAAAGGTATTACTTCATATGTAGTTTAAGCATTCAATAGTAAAAATCATGAGATCCTCTATTAAAGTTCTGTTCACTTACAGCAAATCCAGATGCAAACATTATAACGCTTATAGTCCACAATTAAAAGAATCCTTTCCATTGTAAAGTTCCAGATGAATTTTAAATTAGAAAATAAGCACTATGGAAACTTTTTCAACTTATGAAAACTTCATATTGGAAACTTTCTGGAAAAGCTTCCCCCCACCCATTGTAAAATAAATACTTTGTATCCCAAATTTCATTTCATTAAGACACACTTTAATAATGCTATAAAGAAATATTTTACAGCCATAGAGATCAGTAACTTTCCATGCGGAAATAAAAAATTCATTGCTCAATATTATTGAGGCAAGTGAAGAAAGATTATTCTCTTAATCTGAAATGTTAACTTTTTTTCAGTGCAAAACCAGTTATAAAATATTTAAACTTAATATTTAAAAATAAAAAGTGGTCCAATTCAGCAATGTTCAAGTTCTAAATTTCATAAAACAAATCATTACATACATTTTATAGTAAAATACAGAGATTCGAGAAGTACTTGTGTACTGAAGATATAAATTTCTAATGAATCATACCAAGTCAGCAACAACCAAGCAGATAACATTCCCGATTTGAGTATCAGACTCATTAAAGAGGAAATTCCCGTACCACAGCCTTTTCTCCTAGCTAAAGAGCTACACAAACTAATGGTCAACATTCTGTTTTCTTTGCAGTTGCGTGCTCTAGGATGATACCCCCCCCCCAGTACCTGTGATTTCATTCCTGTATTTGAAATTTGATCCAATTTTTATGTTCCAGGAACACTTAGCTGATATAACCATCTAGAATGTGAAGAGTCATGTACAGGGTACAACAGTGGATTTTCTCTAGCCAAGTGTAGGTGGACCTAAAGTGGTTTCAGCAGTAGGAGTCACTCATGTGTTATTCCGAGCAAATACTCGGTCCCCTCGGAGGGTTAGGTGTTGAAGCTGGTACTGTAGCACTTCTGTGTCAGCGGGCTCCTTGATGTTCATTTTATCTAGATTGAGGTAGTCCAGAGATTTGGAGTGAGCCCTCTTACCTTTAAGAAGACATAGAGGCAGAGGCCCATGGAGGGCCTTATAAGGTTCATAAGGTAAGGATTTAGTACACTTGTCTCCTGAGCTGGGCATCCGCCTTCGTCTCCGGCCATTGACAGCGGGAATCTCGTACGGCTGGTAGTACCTACTTCTGGTTTTATACAAGCGAGAGGAACGCCCAAGTCCTGCATCCAGCTGTTTCGAGCGCAAGGCTGGCATCGCTTCTCCTTTGCTCTCTTCACCTCCCGTGCACTTCTGGGCTAACTTCAGGAGTTCCTCGCCAGTTGTGAAGCCAACCAAATAGTTAGAGTCCATGTGGAGGATCTGGTAGCCCGACACAGTCCGACGCATGGGTGAGCAGGGCGTGCTAGAACAGCGGGGCTTCTCCGCCTCTGCTTTTCCCGGGGAGCTGACCTCAGCCACGGGCAAAGGCAGGGTGGTCAGGGTACTTCTGGACTCTCCATTTATGTCTACTTCCATTTTAGGCACCAATCTGCACACTCCTAAAAGTAAACAGACTCAGATTAGACGAATATAGAATGCATAGAACCTTGGGGCGGGCCAGAGGTTTTTAGAAGTCAAGCGGGATGGAATACAGCTGATGTACAACTGGGAAATTATTAGCTATGTCTGTTAAGCATCTCAGAGAGGCGTGAAATGACCACTACCTCTCTGCCTTCAAGAACTCACAGGCAGCTAAATGAACGCCTGTGGTACTACAAAAGGTTCCAGTGGAGAAGCAAACGGAGAACAGTTATTTCTCTAAATGCAGCTCTCCCTTCAGCCACACCAAGTTTATTCCTTGATGTAATGTTAAGTAAGTCGAACACAGATCTTAACATGAAGCCAGTAAAAGCAAGCATACAGACTTCCGTGAAAATTCTCAAAATATTTCCACCTTCCATATTTGCCTCATTGAATGTAAAATAAATATTCAACTCTTTGCAACCGTAAATCCTTTCAATTGTGTTTAAGGGGCATATAAAACAACTGATTAAGCTGATCAACGTTTGCAAAGAATCCAATTTAAACCTAAAACATTACTTTTTAGGTGTAGAAGAGTCTTTGAAAAAGGTTCCTTCAAACCTTGTACACATTCCCCTTTCCATACCCTTAATGAATTATTTAAAGAAAATCATTTTGAAGCTTAGAAGTTAATCCTAACCCAATCCATCATGTATTATTTAGTATTAATAATATAAAATATTAAGTGTTATTTTATATGATTGACCATAAAACACATCATGATTTATTTTTTAATGCCTACATCATTCTTTTAAATTTTTTAATACACAGCAGGATGATTCATAATGAATAAATATCGTTCATACAATTACTGTATTACATAGTTTGGAAAACTACACCAACAAGAGCCACAAATCATGGCTAGGCTCCTAGGAAGCTGCAGATAAAACAAATTTTAGAAAACAAAGACAAGCCAAGTATGGCGGTGCACACCCACAATCCCAGAACTCAAGAGGCTGAGGCAGTAGAATCTCTGCAAGATCAAGGCCAGCCTGGGCTATATAGTGAGTTCAAGGCCTGCCTGTAGTATTTAGAGAAACTCTGTCTCAAAAAAAAAAAAAAAGAAAAGAAAAAAGAAACAGTGACAATGTCATTTCTGAAAAACTTTATTTTCATTGATCTTCAATTGCAAGTACGTTAAATAGTTTTAGGCAACTATTTCAGATTGCTAATCCAAATGTCAAACAACTCAGTTTATGACGAAAAGTTTACTAAAGGGCAATTATATCACGTAATTCTTATGAATCCTTTTATAAAAAAAATAACTATTTGCTAACTGAAGCATTTCCTGAAGCTTTGGTATTGTTTAAAATCCAAGCAATTAGAACACCAAAAACATAAAGCAATACAAAGAACAGAACCTTATTCTTGCACTTGCATGCTCTACTTCTGTTCATTCGGAGACTGTGAAGACACCAGATGCCATCCATCCTTACTAGTGCCCCTCCACAGCACAACAGAAAAACAAACACTCATAAGGATTCCTGAGATAAAGCAAATGTCAAAGGGATCAATACAGGCAGGGACCACTATTTACTTTGAACCTTACTCTACTTCTAATTTTGACAGAGCCAAACTATCCTTGTTTTGCAACCTTTCTGGATTTAAAGTAACTGACTTTAGACTTTACTAAAATAAAAATAAATTTATATGCCATTGTCCAATTTGTTTCCTTAGGGATAGGATCAGAATACTGATTACCAGCTACTTTGGCATGCATTTAAGATTTATCAGCTAAAACAACTCAGGTAACTATATGAAGCATCATCAAATTTTCCTGCTAAACAAACATTTATCCTAATCCAAATGATAAAATAATCCTTCCTTTCTTCACTAATTCTCCAGCCTAGAAAGAGTAAAAGAGAATAGATCCAAGGCCTCCAACTGATGATTAAACCTGATGGCCAGCTACAGGCAGCAACTGTTTCTCCTGACACTTCATTCTTGCTATGGTTTGTGTCTGGGTGTCTCCCAGAAGCCTCACGCAGTCATGGGCAGTCTTTTAAAGAGTTCATGATTGATCCATGATCAATGCTGGGACGATGGGAGTGAGCGCTACACCTGCCCTGGGGCAGACAGTTTGCACAAGTAAGGGAGGGAAAGAGGCTGCTTGCCACCACTTCTCCCTTTTGCTCTTGCAGCTTTTCCTGTTTTCATGAACTGTTGCCCTCTGCCATGTGCCATTCGGCCCTGGAGCCGGCCAAGCATGTACTGAAACCTCCACAAACTGTGAGCTACATAAACCTTTCCTTCCTTAAATTTGGGCATCAGGTATTTTGTCTTAGCAACGAAAGAAAAGTAACCAAGCAATTCTGAAGGACAAGGACAGGAGCGTTTCTGAGATAGAAATAAGCAGGGCTACGGGCAAAGACTAAGCACAGGTCCCCTGGGAAGCCATGGACAGTGACACTCAAGCAACTGGTCCATACTGGGATACTGGGCTGGGTCCCTTCCAAGGCTGGCACTCCACGAAAACCCATGGATTTCCACCAACCACATTGTTTTTAATTGGTCTTAAATTCCATGAACTTAGACCCCAGTCTTTGTGAGTGGAGTAATAATTCATACCAACAACAAGCTGAAACTCATCCTTTTTGTCTAAGTGGGACGAGAGATAAGTGCAAAGAAAGTTAACAGTGTAAAACACCACAGTGAAGAGGGGGATGGGCCTCTGTGGCGAACAGAAGATCCCAAAGTCTGATCCCACTTTCGGCAAACCCTGCTGTCCCCAGGCCAACCACCAGGGATTCTTAGACTCTCTCAGGGCTCAAGTAAAGGGTGGCAGGACACAAAGGTTTAGAGCATCAGGCAGAAATGATATATTACCCAGCACTAAGCACCTGGGAAACCAGGGAAGTGAAGAAAGTAGTTGCAGAACTGCAGAAAGGTTAAAATTGGATACTCCATGAAACACATACTATCGTGAGATGAGTAACTTCCATTCATTCAGTAACGCCACAAAGAATGCTACCTAGATTGGGTAAAACGACCCCAACAGATCTGAGGCATCTCCCTGGAAGACGATGATTTAGCACAGGTTGCTAAGTAGACAAAACAGACATGGCTTAAGCACTCTGGCAATTTCCACCAAGCAGCTTGGTGTAAGAAAGCTACCATATTTCACTGAGGCAGACAACACACTGTAGAAAACAGACTCAAACAGAAAATTAAAGAAATAGTGATTTCCAATAAGTTCTAATTTGCATACATAACCTGGCAAGTCGGGCCCATGCAAAACAGGCCGATATTCTAGGTAAAATTTCTGAATGAGATTCACTGCACTGGAACATGAAAGGCGGCTTTTAAATATTACATGCACAGCTGCTGCCTGCCGAACTCCTGACAAGCGATTCTAAGAGCTGGAAAACTGTTTGCACTGTTTAGCCATCAAACACCAGTACTTCTGCTCCCAACAACAGTGTTCTCGGAACAGCTCTTTGGTGGCTCCCTGGATCTCTCTGTGGTTTGCTGCCACCTGGACCGGAACCCCTTCAGGTCTGTTCCTGAAGGAACTCATGCAGGAACATGGATGGTGGAACCAAGACTCTCAGAAACTGCTTATTCTTTCAGAAGGAAGCTTCTCCCTTATACACTGCCCTTCGAAAGAGCTCCTCCCATGGGGTCCTAAGAAAGGCACACGGAGGCTGAGTTTCACAAGAAAGAAGGCTCACACGTGTCTTTCCGATGGAAGCCATCTCTCATTCATCACAGCGACTGAAAAGGAAACATTCTGTTACTAAATTCCTGAGAATTTCTTGGCTGGATTTAAATATTGAGGCAAAACCCTAAGAAAGACAGAATCAACTTTCTCAGGTTACTTGTAAATAGAATCTGATTAGGTACTGCCCCATTTGAATAAGTAGGTTGGTGCATTCAAATTCTAGGATTCTTTCCAAAATGACACTAAAGCTGGGCGTGGTGGCTCACGTCTGTAATCCCAGCACTTGGGAGGCTGAGGTAGGAGGATCCTTGTGAGTTTGAGGGCAGCCTGGCCTACAGAGTGAGCTCAAGGCCAGCCTGAACTGCATAGCGAGACCCTGTCTCACAAAAAAAAAGACACTAAAGATCAAACAGCCTCAAAGTCCACAACCCTCTTCTGAAGCAGATAGGTAAGTACTATTACACCTGACCAGCTCACACTGATAGGAGGTGGCCTAGTATTTTCTAGAGCCATTTTTTAAACCTTTGTTTTGTTTTCTTTTTTTGTTTGAGGGGAAGGTACTCACGCATGCTAAGCATCGGCTTTCCTAACTATATGAGCTCAACTTTTTTTTTATTAAAATGCATTCATCAAGAAATTCAGCTACAGTGACTAGAACTGTAAGATGACCTATATTTAGCAGCATATTCCTCAGGTTTTACCACCAAAAAACTGTTTATGAAACAGCAATACTACTCATGACTCAACGTTTTATTTCATACTCTAAAATAAGCCTGTATCCAAAAAGCATGCTGCCAAGACAAAGGATTACAAAGCACCCTTAGGAATATTACTGGCAGGTGTGTGCAAACCATGATTTCCACTGCATAAACAAACAATGAATCAAGAAATCAGGTCCAATGTTAACCTGCACATTCCAGGCCACTAAAAATCGGAGAGATACCCTTCATGTTTCCACTGATGCCTATGCATAGTTTAAAGCCAAAGACTGACAACAAAAATTTTCTAAAACATGTTCATATTATAGCAACAGAAGCAGCATATTTTCTACAGAGAGAAGTATAGAAAAGAAAATACAAACAGATAAGTGAACTTGAAGTGAAACAATGCCTTTTGCATGATAGGCAGAATCTGCTGAAAGTTTGGGTATAATTCTGATGGACAAAAGGAAGGCAAGGTTTCCCGAAAGATAAGGTTATGAAGCATCAATTCCTCTAGAAATTATCCACAGCCAGTTCCCGGACTAGGAGATGTCTGAGGCAGTGACAACCTGAAAAAACAGGTTTTACGGGGCTCTAGAACTGCAGCTCTATCCTGCTTGCTGAGTTCTCTAAATGCAAAGAGATATCTCAGGGAGTTCTTAGGATCCATGAACATTTTGATAACTACTTTTCCTGGTCAGGTAACTTCTACTCTTTTCTATTCCTCACTAACCTGCTTCAGTGATTGCTTTGTCTTCTTTCTGTTTTTGAGAAATATAAAAATAATAGATGCAGACCGAAAGATACTCAATTCAAGTAATTTATAATGATGTATTGGAAATGACAAAATCCCTCTCCAGCTCTTACGAAATGCAAGACACATCTAGAGGAAACCCCTATTTTGATGTACCCTTCCTTTTTCTATGTATTTATAAATGTGAGAATGGGTGTCCAGTTCTTCTGACCAGGAAATACACACACACAGGCATGCACACCCATAGGAGTATTTCTGCAAGAAATTCCAACAGTAAAAATGCTGAAAAAATATATACTTTCAAAATTTCTATAGCAATCTACCACACAACTCTATGTAAAATGTTTTCGTTTTTTACCGTAAGAATGAATTTACATTTCCTATAACCAAAAATTCATGTCAATGCTTTAGAAACTACAATCTACACACTCATCAACAGAGTGCCTATTTCTACTCTTACTGTGTCTAAGCAGAAATTCCTAGGAAGAAAATATGCTGTGGCCAGAGGATACTATGTCTGATGTTTCAGAAGGAAAAGATAAATGAAAAGGGTATCACGCCCTATGAAAAGCACCTCAAATTTCTGCATTGTTCACCTATAACACTTCAATATTTCTTGAAAGAAATTTACAAACTGTATGTCACATTTCCTTCACAAAAAGGGAAAGTAACATACATATATATGAAAAACACAATGTACACTTTTAAAGTATTGGGTACAGCATGCAATACCCCAGTGTGAGTATTCTGCCCAAGACTAAAGCAAACAGGCCCGAGCCACAAGACACATGCAGATCTTCATCCACCAGACAAGCAGTCAGAGACTGCAACCTACGCGCCTAACACGCTCCTAGAGGCCAAGCCTCCCACACATTTGGCACAAAAAGTAATATTTTGAAAATATAACATCAGATATCTCAGCTCTTTAGACCAGCTCTGAAAATAGCTGATATGTTTCACAACCACAATACAAGGAATTCTTTTTTAGAAAGTACTGAGTTATGCAAATGTTTTGAAAATCAGGCTTAACAAAAAAATTTACCTCCAGTGAGCACTGTTTATGTGCTTTCACTGCATTTAGCAACATATAATACCACATAAGAGCAAACAGACAGGAACATCACCATCTCAAATATACAAAAGAAAAATGGGGTTATGCTAACACAGTGTTTTTCAAGAAGCACCTAAAAAGCCAGGCGTGATGGCATAGGACTGTAATCCCAGCCCTTGGGAGGCTGAGGCAGGAGGATCCTTGCAAATTCGAGGCCAGCCTAGGCTACGAAGTGAACTACATAGTGAAATCCTGTCTCAAAAAGATTAAAAAATAAAAAGAAGCACCTAAAAATGAACCTTTCAGAATAGATCATTTATTGTGAGATGGGGTCTCTGAGGCATTATCTAAACTGGTAATTAGTCTACTGATGGCTAGAATCATCTAGTTTCAATGCCAGCATTTTCTTGGAGTTTACCTACCTGAATAGAGGAAGCAATTAAGGCCAGAAGGCAGGGGCTCACCTGAGGCCACGGGTAGTGACCTTAACAACACCTGGAGTCTCCTGATCCCACGCCTAGTACTTCTTTTACTTCATCATACTATGATTCCAATACATGGCTCCCAGAATTGCCTATGCAATGAAATTATCCAAGGAGCTTCGTAAGTGTAAATTATCTGTGTTCCACTTCAGATTTGTGATTTAACTGAACTAGGGTGGAGCTTGGGTTCTGAAGTTTTTAAAAGAAGCCCAACTGATTTTAATATGCGTAGAGATTTGGAAACTTGCCAGACAGAACTTATCAAAGGAATTTCATTCCCGCAAGCTCCTACGTTTGTTTGGTCATGTTGGTGAATATAATTTTTGCCTTATAATCACTAACCACCTACCCCAAGGCTTTCTAATTTGCTGTTTCAAATCCACAGTGAGCTGAAAATATTTGCTAACCAAACTTATTAAAATTGGATATAAAATAAAAATAAATCTGTGCTGAATGAAATTTAAGAAGCTTCACCTGCATACACTTCAGCATATTAGCTGCCCAGAAGCCTCTGCAGGTGCAGTTTCTTTGGAAAACAATTTGACAACTTACAGAGTTGAATGAATGTTTATTAAATAACCCAGCCACCCTACTCCTATATTTACTAAAGAAAAATGAAGATATACGTCCACAGTAAGACCTGAAGACAAATGTTCCTAACAGTGTCTTTCCTAAATACCATACACCTAAAAGCAAGCCAAACATCGATCTCAGAGAAGCAAATGAACAAACATGGTCCATCCATACAATGCAGTATCATTCAACAACGAAGAGGTGCAAACTAGGAATACAGCAAGCAAAAGAAACAGACAGGAAACTGCCAGGGATTCCATTTATATGACATTCTAGAAAAGGCAGAACTATTGGGCCAGAAATCAATCAATGATTGCCAAGAGCTGGCGCGGTGAAAGGGAACTTGAGGGGGCTGATGCGAATATTGTACACATTGACTATAGTGGTCAGTATACAACTGGTTATGTTTGTCCAAACACATCAAACTATGTACTTTAGGACTTAATTTGGCTGAGCTTGGTGGCACAGGTCTGTCATGTGAGCCCTCAGGGAAGCACGGCAGGTGGGTCACAAGGGAAAGCCCAACCTGGGCACTTAGCAACCTAAACAGACTCAATCTCAAAATAAAAATGAAACATGGGTGAAGGATATAGTTCAGGGCAACAATCAAGTTCAACGCCAGGGCAAAGACTGAATTTTACTGTATATAGGTTCTCCCTCAACAAGCCTGATGTTAAAAATAAAGTCTTTCAACATATTTCCAAGTTTTAGATGGTATTCCCAACCTCGTAATTTTCGGGGCCAGCGTAATCTTAGAGTCAGAGAAATCCTAATGGTACCCAGTGTCTAACTGATCACCGTCAATGACAAGCAACTCATTGCCTCTCAAGTTAATTCATTTCCCCTTTACCACTCTGCTAGAATATCATTTTACAAATGTAACGCATACACACAAATATGAATGAACACTGCAGGTAGATTTAGACCGCAATATACATATACATTCCCATAACTTCTAGCAGTAGCTCCTAGCTTTAGGTGAGTTAGTGACTCGGCCACATCGTTTCCTACTGAATTCCCTCCTAAACGTGCTTTCTGCTTAAGGCTTTCAAACTTCTTGCTATTTCTCCTAAAACTGGAAATTTCAGGAACGTTTCCATTTTTCAAAGTTTTAAAATGCACTTTTAATACATCTGCGCAGCTACAACTGCTTAAGAATACTAGCGTTTGTTTTTGTCCCTCATTCCTTTGAATCATTCTGCTGCCGGCCACTAGTTTAGAAAATGCTTAGCATGAAACTGCTTTTCCAAGGATTGTGACCTCTCTAAGTAATTCACAGCAAGGACTTACAAAGGTATTGGCCAAGTAGACTGACATATCAAAGCGGGACTCACAATAATATAGTTTTGAAAATGCAAAAGAGCTACAAAGACCATTATTAATTATTTTCCCTTTCAAAGACTTGAGGTCATGCGGACAACTATGTCAGCAAAGACACATGGGACACCCCGAAAATAAAGACAACTGAAGGAAGTTCAGTTGCATACGTTTAACAGATTAAATACGTAGTGGAATAAAAGGAATGTCACACTCTCAGTGATTTGCTCTCCAACTAAATAAAAATGATTCTCCATTCAGCTACCTGTTAGCCTTGCTTTAGGTATAATATACAACTAGAACTTTTTGTAAATTATTTCACCAGTTTTTGGAAATCAGTATTTTTACTAGAACTTCCCAAGTTAAAGCAACCTTCTCCAATTATTATATGTCCTGAAGGATTATTGCGTAAGAACTCCGTGGTCTTACAGGAATTTTTAAAAAAGAAAATGTACTTAAAGAGCAAACATTTCTAATAATGTTACCCTATTGTAATCATGATTTTAGTTTTTACTACTAAAACTCTCACACTGTATGTATCTACAATGATACAGTGACAACTCACATGCACCAATTTATTTATGCGATCCTTAAAAAACACTATATGATGTTCATGTAACTAGGTAACAACACACAAAAAGCAAAATATAACTCACCAGACTAAATCCCAGAAGACGTCACTGCACAGTTTCCAAGGGAGTCCCAAGGGAGCAGAAGCATAATAATTTTTCTGTTCTACTCCAGATACTAAACATGAAATACAAAAACAAACCAGTAATTTAACAGGGAACAGAATTTATAAAACAATTATATCAACTGCAACTGCAAAACAGGATGAAACTAGCAGGAGGTACTGGTGCCAGGTAGAGGTTATAAAGGATACAATAATTAATTAGTTCCATTAAAAAGTAATTTTGAGTGTGTTCTGCTAAACGAGTCCTCAAACATCTCACCGGGCTGTGCCCCTATATTCTGCTGCTTGAGACTAAGAGTATCTAACTAGGCTAAATAGAGGAATGACAAAAATAAGGGACTTCAGTGATGGTTTTGCCATGCAGGTCCTCTTCACATGCTCAACAGCTTCACCATATTTTATGGGAGAAAAGAATGCTGTGGCTGAGAAAACGGATTTGCGAAGGTCTCTGCTTCCTGACCTTGCATAAACAGCCATCTTTGAAATAAGGTCAAGAATTCCATCCTTCCTCCCTAATACGACTGCTACGCGGATCAAATGAGATGAGGTAGGTGGACGTGTTCTGCATGCTGCAAAGCCCTTTACACACGTGTGATGTTATTATCATGCCCTTAATTTTGGGTGTCTACTCGTGTGAACTGTAAGACAGCAACAATGAAAATTCTTTGTAAGACTGCTGGGAGGAAAATAATCAAAAAGTTCTCGGAAAATATTTTTTAGAAAGCAGAAAGACATTTTTTTATAGTTTCCACCTTACTTAAGGTTTCTGGCATCTCCTCTATGCCTTACCTTCTTACCTGGGGAATTGATGTGCAAGAGAATCTATGTTTACCTCCTGCCTCCCTAGTTAATTGGGTTAATTTGTTGAAACCAAGAAAACTCCCCAAAGCTCTTTTCCACTTGTAAAGGGTGTTGGTTGCTGAGTATTCCATCCTGGTGGTCAATGTGAGGAGGAGAGAAAGTCAAATGAGTTGAGGGGTTTGATTTGTATCTACACAGGTGCAGAGTCTGAAACAAATGTCAACAGTGCTATGCAACAAGTTCCCAAACTAAAGACAAAAAACAAGGGAAAAGGCAAGACATCTGTCGCATTTTTCTGAAAGCACAGAAGAGCTTTAGCAAAAGGAAAAAGACAATTTACTAAACTAAAGGCACCTGCTCCCTCAGCTTGAGAAACTAGAAGAAGATCATGCACCAGAATGATCATGCAAAAACACTATCATGGTTATCTGCCTCTAGAACTTCTTTCCAAGTGCATGACAGACATGGCCCCTTTCCATTTATTTTGCCATCATCTACTTTTAAACTGGCTAGCCAAGAAATCTAGCAATTAAATAAAAGTTGGTTTTCCCTCAACACCAAAGCCTCTGATGTTACCATACAGTGAACTGTAACAAAAATTGTCACCTGATTATTTTTTCATTTTGTAAAATTGTCCTCAAAAAATATTCCCAATGTTATTGGTATAAAGTTCACATCGATATCTTAAATAAGTGGATTTTTAATGAGGAAACAACAGCAAAAAGAAACTAGTACCTTTTCAGTATCTGCCAAACACCAAAGCCATCCATAATTTGTCATTTCAGTTTACTCCACGAGGAAAGTATTTTTACCACCATTTCAAGTATTGACCCTAGCCAGGCATGGTGGTGCACACCTATAATCCCAGCACTCAGGAGGCTGAGGCAGGAGGATTGCTTCAAGTTCGAGACCAGCCTGGGCTACAAAGGGAGCTCAAGGCCGGCCTGAACTGCATAGCGAGACCCTGTCTCAAAATGACAAAAAAATCAAAGTAAAACAAAATCAAGTGTTCACCCAAACGATACTGTTCGAGAGTCACTCCAAGAATCTGAACCCTAAATGGTATGGCTCAAACCCATTTATTTGTCTTTATACTCATCTGGCCTCTGGTCAGTGACAAGCACATCCTTAATAATATCATGTTCTTGAAAATTATATTAATTAATATCTGTAAATGGAATCCTATTTTAAATACTTGGGGAAGCACTTTACTTAAAAGCTTTATTTTTTCATTTGTGAACTGCATAGGGGAAGTTAAGATTTTACTAGTACCTCTAAGGTTATTTCCAACTTAAAAATCACTACAATTTTAAGGTACAGAGGGGAAAGTCTTTTATAAAATCCTGCGAAACCAGACTCTCTCCTAAAAGTTTCCAAGCTATTTTTTAAATCATAAATTATAAATCAGGAAAAAAGTCTCAACTAACTCGGTGATTATACAGTTGGATATCAAATACAAATGTCTACCTTTATTTTTCAGGACCACATCTGTGACAAAGTGAGAGATCTCAGACTTTCTATAACTTAGTCTAAAAATCAAGAAGGAACATTAGAAACACTTGAATGTTCTAGTTGTAAATACAAGTTTAAAAGTCCTAATTCCATTTAAACTCTCAGATTTTTATTTCATATATTTGATGTTGCATTTTTCTTTTTAACCTTAGAATGCCCTGGGAACACTATTTACACTTTTGAACAACACCAAAAGAAAGAAATCAAGCTTAAAATCTCAGCCTGGACTTGAAGGCAGGGGAGCCTTAAAGTAATTATCCAACTCTTGCCTTGGAGCTGATGTGGTAGTCTAGGAAATGGTTGGTAATTTCATAGTAAACAAAGTGTAGTAACTGATTATCTCCTATGCCAATGCTAAGTCAAAAATAGAATACAAACAGAGGCAACAGGGCAACAGAAGGCAAAACCAAGCAGCAGGAGCTCTGTTCTGTTTGTGAGTCTTACGCATTTCCGACACTGCTTACCATTTTGTGTAACTGAACTGCACTCCGCTGTCTGCGCACAGGCATAGGAAGAGGATGAGGATGATGGTAAAGGTGGTGAAAACAAAGGAATAAAGTAATGGAGCAAGAAACTAGCATTAAAAATACTTTAAGCAACTGCCTATACACGAATCTACTACAAAATTCTAAGAAGGGTTTTTACTTCTCTTCCATCTCTCATAAGCAGCAATGTAAAGATTATAATGTAGAAGTCACCCCAAAACTGTGTACCATTCCAATAAGAACACTCAGTTTTAGAATACTTGAAAATCTGCACGTCTCTAACACTGGCAGCTGACCGGGCCTTCAAGCTGGCTAAGGCTTGAGAGCCATCAATGGGTTTCCTCTGCAGTCAGCAAGAGGAAAGAACGGGACCCCACGAAATTCTTAGACATGTTCTAAATGATACACAGCAACACAAAGGAAGCAAATACAGTCAGGGCTACAGAATACACAGTTTAAGCTCCAAGAAGCTAAACAAACACAAGGCCCAAGGACATTACCCTGTCAACAAGGAAAACAGAATTAAGGCCAGCCATGAGCTACCCACAGGCCTCTGGGTTACTAAGCAAAAGACACCCAACAACTGACTGCAAATGAAGCTTCCACAAATAGAAAAGTTTGCAAATATTAACTATTGAGCCTGAGGAGTTGCTTAGGGAAGGTGATACATACTACCAAAGCTAAAGAAAGTCCTTCAAATTAGGATGACCTTTGTCACAGTTCTGTTAATACCTTGGCATAATTATTTACAGCATCCCCATTAACTCACAAAAATGTCCCCAGATGGCAACTGTGTTATCATCCTACTCAAAAGTAATAACAATTATGGAAAAGCAATGAACTTTCAAAGTGGAAGGAACAGACTTCGGTTGTATAGTGGCTTTGCACACTGATCTCAGCAATACTCTTCTGGGTGCATCCACTCTACTATTCACCAGCCAGTCATTCAACAATGTTTCTTGAGTCACAGCGAATGTTTCCAGAATGTACAGGAACTGGAACAAATGTAAAATGTTTAAGACCAGGCCAGAGGGGGGCTGGGGATTTAGCTCAGCGGCAAAAGCGCCTGCCTGGCAAGCGCAAGGTCGTGAGTTCGGTTCCCGGTACCGGAGAAAAACCAAAAAAACCAAAAAAAAAAAAAAAAAAAAAAAAAAAGACCAGGCCAGAGGGAAAGCCCAGAAGAAGGAAAGGTTTTTGTAAAATACAGTAAACTCCATTTAGAAATGTTCACAACCACATAAAACTCTCTCTCTCTCAGACACACACACACACACACACATATCCCTACACCTTTAAATCTCAGATTTCAGCAAACACACCAGCAAAATAACAAGAAATAACATAGCAAGATTTATCACCAGACCAATTGTAAAGTTATAAATATGAAGGCCAGGACATAGCCCTTCTAAGTTTTGGTAAATAAATCCCACTAATCATTGAAGATTGTAAGGTAAATTTTAGGCAAGTAAATTAGTAACGTAGAAGTTATGAGTTGAATTCTTATTCCCAAACATTAAGAGAGAGAGTGACAGACAGACAGAAAGATGACAATAATTTCTGAGAGACAATTTAAGGAGACCAATAATTTTTAAAAAGCTCTTAGAAAACCAGAATTTTTTATTCCATTCAGACTACCGAAAGTATTTTGTAATCACTTGTCTCAAAGTCTACTCCAAAAGTAAGTTAGAGAGGTGAACCAAAACACCTTTCAACTAATAAAACACTGAGCATAAAAAAAAGGTTTAACTGTCCAGGTACCACACACAATGAAGAAAAGAAAGCTTAGCCGTACCTCATTCTCTTAGTAGAAGCTACTTCCAAATAATTTGGCTTTATCATTTGCAATTTGTAAAAATTAAATCACCAAAGGTTTTGAGAAACAATTACGTAGGGTAGGACTTTTCTAAAACCATCCTCGATCTTACAAACCAATAACCTCACCAACACGGTAAAAAGACAACCCACAACCGGCTCAATAAGAAAAAAATGAATTTCTCTTTCTAGTATCATATCTTTTAATAGTAACCCCCTTAAATTGCAAAGCACTCATTTTCTTTCCACTTCTGCTATTACAAATTAAACCTAAGTTACTAATAATAGTCTCAGTAGAAATTGCCCTTCTACTTTTAGAAAAAAATACTCAGTTTCCCTGCAAATATGACTGGCAGTAACTGGAACTGAAGGTCTACGCCCAGTCTTTACAAGAAATTTACTTCTTAAGAAGCAAAACAGAACAGACAGGTGTACAAGGTGGAAGTGACGACTCTTCCGAAAAATGCTTAAAATCAGGTACTCATTTTGACAAGCTGGTGACAAAATCCAAGCTTCTCTCTGGTGCATAAGAGCTGACCCACCACTTCAGGCTACAAATCAGCAAAGAAAATTTAAATCATATATATAAAGCTTTATTATTCCCACTATGCTAAATGTTTTTAAAGAACTGATATTGAAACAGCTCTCTAAAATATACAAAAATGCAGAGAGAAAGTAATAAGCAGATTTACTCATGTAAAGTCAATAAAAATATCTTCCAGCCTGGAATACTACTAGCAATCCGGTTTGCAATGAAGTAACCCAAAACTTTGGCAAAACTACGCAGGACAGCAATTCTTATCAAATTTGAAAGGTGACTGTTTATTCTTAAATTTCACCCTGCTGATTTTAAAGCTTATACTGGACACAGTTACATAATAACACCGAACTATGCGAAACGTGCATTAACCATCACAGTGTGAGCACAGATCTTGGCCTTCTATTCATAAAGTAGCCAAAACTTCTGCAATAATAACCCACACTGCATTTTCAGATGACTGGTTTGGGAAGGGTCTACCCTGCTCCTCGAGATTAGTAAAAATAAAAAGCAATTCTAAATTGCAGGGTTTTTTTTTGTTTTTTTTTTTTGAGGAAAACAATGCAACACGAGGAGTTTCAGTAAAAGCAGGCATGTAGTGTAGGAGCTGCTCTCTGGGCAGGAGCAGCCAGCTCACTATAGAACGCGGCTGCCTCCATTCTTCCTCCTCTGCGACTGGGTGGAAGTCCCCATCCCCAGCTCCGGTTCTACCTGTGCAGCACAGCCAGACACCCACTTGCAGAAATCCACGCACACGCCTGCACAGATCACCGACCCGGCGGGCGCCGAGTGGCGCGGGCGGAGAGGCAGGGAGTCCCTAAGGATGCGGAACGCTCTCGCTCCCCGCGCTCTCGGCTTCTTCCTGGCACGGATTTGCGGATTCCACCACTAGACAGAGTTTGGCAGCTGCACACTGGGGCCGCTACCGCAGAGCAGACCGCTGCGCTCCTCCACTCCCTCTTTCTCCGCTCCCCGGCAGCCCCGCAGCCACCCGCGACAGGTGGGGCAAGGGCGGCGATGCTCGGCCACATCTGCCGCTTTCGCTTCGGGCCGGCACCGGGCCGATC